TATATATATAGACTTAGCTTTTGACTCATGTTTATGCCGGCAAACAGTATACGAGTCACTAGCTTTACTTTAATTTCCTGCTACAACAGCAATAGCAGCGAATACTCCTGCGACACGTGACGGAGGAGGATACGGGGCGAGATGTTGGCTCTAGCTACTTATCACCACTGGCTGGCTAGTCAGTCTGGCTGCCTGTCGGAGCTGTCGGAGTGGGCATCATCATGGCAATGGCAGCGGTCCCTATTTTGTTGCTGGGGAAGTCGTTATCGCATTTCGTTGATACAGATAAGCCGTCTAGCAACGGTGCCCGTTCTAATCTTACTAAGCGAAGAACCATCCTGTGAAGAACGAGAACCCTAGGGCGCCTGGAGGTTTGTGTGGCCCCTGTCTACAGTGTCGCACTGGGGGACCTGCCTAAGCCACACAAATTATGATCCAATAATGTTACGTAATTGATTGGACTAAAATCAGTGGTAAAACGGTGCACGGATGGTATAACTGAAACATAGTATATTTCGTGTCAATTTTAATGGTCGTATTGCTTCTCACCATATGTCAAACAGACTAAAATTACAGTGGTTGACTTTGTAGCGGATAAGCTGATTCATGTTTAGAGGGTTGTACATAAAGCATCGTTGCATGTCACGAACCAATGCTGATCCAATAAGCGGTCTCTAAAAGCTTTCGAATCGATCACACAGGTGATGCATTGTGAAAGGTAAAGTAAGTGGTTTCAACTTCTGAATGACATTCTAACGAAGAAGAGATGGGGCTGATTCTCTTTCAAGTTCCCACATCGCTCCTGCAACGAAAAGAAATAGAATCCAGGGCCGCTTTCTATAGAATTTCCATTCATAGCAAATGTTCACACATGTCTCCTATTGCTATTATTCCGTAGCGTGGCCGATTATCAGATGAAACCAAAACTATATTTTCCACATGAACTGATGCAATGGGAGTGTTCTCGCTCCATGCATCACTAAGAAAACCTTCAAGACGCAAGCGTCGTACTCAGGACAGAAACGTTTCGGCGCATTGAAACGGGGGAATCAAAGAAATGAGCGGACGACATAGTTTTTAGATCACAGCATCGTGCGCGTCCGGTCACAACGTATCGAGCGAGAACTGAAGCAACGTTTCGTTGAACCGAGAGAACTCTTGTCGAAGGGTTATATATTCGTTGGATCTGGTTCACCCATCAAGTCCTGTGACAAGCGTAAAAGATTCTTTGCCACTCGTACTCTTCGCTTCAGATTAGCTTCTACCTACTCGAACTCGCGCTTTTGGCCAGTACAATAGCTGAGATCCCAGTATGATGTAATGGTCGACGGGTAAACTATCATGAATGCGTAACAATAACTATGTATAATAATGCGTTTAACAGCCGGTGCTATTGTCATAGTTAAGCTTTGCTTTAGGCGGCTGGCCCATCCCAGCACAAACAAAATCGTGCGTACGCCCGGCTTCGAGCCTGCGTCCTCTCTGCGTTCCTTTACTTAGCAGGTTAACATGCTACCACTACGTTATTGCGGAAACGTGTAAATAGCATGACACTAACGATTGCTTGCCATTGAAACGTATTTGATAATATATCAGTAACTATGATGGTTTCGAAGAGCCATTATGTGGGACTACGGGAAGACCTGAGGGCTGGACTGTACCATTCAGTCAGAAATTGTCAAAAATTGCATCCTGAGACATACATCGAGGATTAGAAAGAGTTTCTAGGACTGGTCCAGTGTCGAGTGCAAAGGAGTAATGCTGTTACGTTACTGAACATCGCGGTTTTTAAGATCGTTGTAGCCTAACTGTCATTGGCAGACCTTTTCGATGGATCAAAAGATTCGTAACGAGTTATGACACTTGTGACAAATATCAGTCACAAGGGGAGTCTCATTTATGCCATTGATTAGGCCTTTTCCCCTTCTCCAATTCAACAATTTGCCGCATTGTTCCAAATGTATAATAACATTATCGTTCATTTTTGTTTTTACTATAGAAATTATGAAAATGACGACCAGGATAATTAAATAACGCTCATATTCTACATACTTTCCCTTAGTAATGGTAATTCCCTTAGTAAATTGTAAGGTAATGTAGTATGCGTACTGCATGCTTTTATTAAAGGCGATTCGAATCAAATAAACAATAATAATAATAATAATAGCAATAAAAGATTTTACGTAGACACAATATTGCGTAAAATAATACCGTATAAATAGATACACCTAAATAGACGCCTTAGTCAGTCAATCAAATTTTTTAACAAGCATCACATTTGGTTTTGGTCATCTTGCAGCACCATAAGCCAACGTATATACCGATAATAACAATAATAATAATAAGTATCCAAACTTCAATTTCCTGTCGTCGCTCCTTTCACATTGCTGTCTTGTATAAGCTCAAAAAAAGGCACGTTAAAAAAATGACGAATGTGTAGCCGGCGCGTATGTCGTCCAATGGTTATATTTTTCCGTCGGAATGGCCGGTTGGATAATGATTTTTCCCTTCATAGTATCGAGCAAAGCACGTGCGAAATATATATCGGAATCGGTTGCCATTTCTCAGCAACGATCAGCGGGATAGAGACGAACAGAAACTGTCCGTTGCACCGTAGCCTCACTGCGCTCTGTTGCTCCGAGCTATACGTATAATGTCGGCTAGAGGGTTGACTTCATACGCCGACCAATGTCCTTACTACCACTGCTACAACATTTATGGACTACTCCCGTTCGGTCGGTTTCGTTCCAAGCTGCTGGACCCATTGCTGTTGCCGACGAAGAACTGGCCGACCACGAACAGCTTCTTATTTCGTGGCCTCCACCTAGGAGGCTGGCCTTTTCTCTATTATCCATCTTCTCCCTCTACAGTGTTACCAGGAATCAGGGAGAGCAATGGCTGTAGCGGAAGCGGCGGACGGAAATAGGAGCGGAAATGCGGGTGGCTAACATGACC